AAAAAAAAAAAAAAAAAGAAACTGAGCCCAGGCTAACCAAACCTCCCACGGCCACGCTCCCTTCCCTCCCTCGGGGTGAGGGCCACAGCTGCGACTCCAGTGGGCCCTGAGCCATCCCCCCATCCAACCCACCTCCAGCTTCCCAACAAACCGCACGCAGGAGGGTCTCACCATTTAACACGGCACAGCCCGTGCCGCCGCACGCAGCCTGCTTCGCCTTCCCTACTCCCGAGAAGGGTAGGCACCGGGGGACGTTCACCTGAATCAAAGCCAGAGCCACAGTGTTAGGAAGACACACCAGTGAGAACACGGCAGTGCTCCATCTCGTGCACAAAGCCGGTAAGTCCCCGGTCGTTGTCCAAGGCCTTCCTGAACGTCCAAGATTCACTAAAGACCTAACCAGGTGCCGGGGGTTCGACAGGAAGGAAGCGACCTGGTCCCTCTCCCCGAGCGGAATCCGGTGGAAAAGGTAAGAGGCCGGCCAAAACGAACCCAAAATTAATGTGCACTGAATGCAATGAAGGAGAATGAGTGTCAAGGAACCTGATCTAATTTGGGGGGAGCGACCGAGAAGGCTTCGTTTTATCCTGGGACCCGAAGGATGAGTAGGGGTAACAAGGCAAGGGGAGAGAGGCCACCCCAGAACAGAGCTGGCAGGCACACAGGGAAGGGGGTGAGTGGGGCACCTTCAGGGAGTCTGACCAAGGTCAGAGAGGCTGAAGCAGGGGCATGGGCAGGATGCGGAGACCACATCGGCTAGAGGTTGTGGGCCATGGTTAGGAACTGGTCTTTCTCCTGAGCACAAAGGGGAGCCAGCAGGAGTACTAAGAGACGCGGGATTTCCAGAGGCAACAGGAGGGGACCTGGGACATGGCAGAGGACCAGGGTATGGGGGATCCACAGTTCACTGTGCCCAGAGATGGCTGAGGGGAAATGTCTTCGGGGATGCCCCAAAGAGTGATGTGGGTGGAGAGCGAGAAGCCCAAATGGGTCGTCTGCAGGTGGAGGCCACACAGGTCAGGGAGGACAGGCGGGACCAGTGGAGAAGGGGAGGTTGGAGCCATGGGGAAGAAGGCCAGACGGAGGAGGGCTCCCGAGAAAGCGGGAGGAAACAGGACCCGGAGGCAGAGAGAAAACTGGCGTCACCGGGGAGGGAGATGCTGTCCACGTGCTAGAAGGGAGCGGGCCTGGGCTGGAGGGTGGAGAACTCAGAGTGGGAAACTGAGGACAGGCGCATCTGATAGCACATGTTTTCCCTATGAATCAGGGACCAGATCTGCTGAGAATGAGAGACACGAGGGTCAGGGGTTTGGGTACTCTGGTACGACGCCCCGGCAAGGCTTGAGGAACACCCCAGCACGGAGACGCCGGAGACGCCCCACGGCTGTCCAAGACAGGGTGAGGCTCAGGCCACGGTCAAGAGTCCCAGCTGCGGTGGCTGCTCCCAAGAAGGTTCCCGTGATCCCCCCTCCTGCTAGTCGCACCCATGCAGCCCCCCGCCCTGGTGTGGGGCCGGAGCCCGTGACCGGCTTCTAAGGAGCAGAGCGCCAGTGAAAGCCAGGGGAGGTCACTGCCAAGACTAAATGACAAAACGCTGGCTTCCGTCTCGCTGGCACTCTCGCGCTCCCTCGTTTGCTTGCTCCGATGAAGCCAGCTGCCATGGTGGGAGCTGCCGCATGGAGAAGCCTCCGTGGCCAGGAACCAAGGACGGCTGGGCCAAGAGCGAGTAGCTGGCTCACCACCCGCGAGGAACCAGGGCTCCAGTCCAACGGCCCACGAGGACCTGCGTCCTGCCAACAACCACTGGGGTGGTCCTGGAAGCAGAGCCGTCTCCCACTGAGTCTGGAGACGACTGTAGCCTTGAAGGGACGAGGGCCAGAGGACCCGACTAAGCCCCCCCTGGATTCTGGACCCACAGAAACTGTGAGACAATCAGTGTGTGCTGGGTGAAAGTACGAAGTGTCGGGGTGCGGTCGCCTGTCATGCTGCGGTAACAGTGCCACCAGCCTGGGTTTGTCCCCCACGGGAAGCCCTTGGGAGATGCTGTTCTCAGGACTTGGGAGCAGGAAGAGCAACAATTTTCCTGAACGTGTTATTTGTTTCTCTTACAGAAACAATGAATCAATTGAATGGGCGTGTTTTCTTCTCCACTTTGGCTACTAGGAAGCTCAGAACCGTAGCTGCTACGGCTTCTAGCCACTGGGCCGGACCACAGGGAAGGCTTCTCCTCATCTTGTTCTCTGGCTTTAGTTTTCCGCTGGGCTGATCTCTTTACTAATACATATTTAAGGGGAACCTGGAGGCGTAGTCAGTTAAACGGCCGACTCTTGATTTCAGCTTGGGACGTGATCTCAGGGTGGCAGGATTGAGCCCCATGTCAGGCTCCATGTACGGCTGGGAATCTGCTTCAGATTCTCTCTCTCCCTCTCCCCCTGCCCCTCCCACTTCTACTCTACAATGAATACATGGCTCTTTAAAAAATACATATTTTAAACCTTCTGCATGTTGTCAGAAGTTTGATGGTATTAAGGAATAAAGTATATTTTTTAAATAGTCTTTACCTTTTAGAGATACATATGGAAACTTTTATGGATAAAATATGATGTCTGGGATTTACTGCAAAATAATCCCGGGCAGGGGCGCCCGTGTGGCTCTGCCAGCTGCACATCTGAGTCCCGGTTTCAGGTCAGGCCATGAGCTCAGGATCATGAGACTGAGGCCCGTGTCAGGCTCTATAATCAGCCGGGAGTCTGTTTGACATTCCTTTCTCCCTCTCTCCCCCTCTGCCCCTCCCCGCCCCATGCATACGCTCTACCCCTCTCAAAACAAAACAAAAAAAACCAATCCAGGGCAGAGAAGCAGATGGCAACAAAAACTGGCCATTGGGGATGCAGGATTATTTTTTTGTTGGGGGGAGGAAGGTAAAGAAAAACTTCTGGAATGAGATGGCTGCACGACTTGTGACTACACTAAAAACCACTAAATTCTACACTTGAAAAAGGTGAATTACGTCTTGGGTTTTTCGGGGCTGTTTTTGGTTTTGGGCCATTAGTTGAGAACTGCTGAATGCGGGTGAGAGAGAGAGGTTCTTCATGCAGAGGAGTTTTTTATTTCCAATTCCCCTTCATGTCTAAAATCCTACTGTATTGTACTGATGGTGGCTCCCTTTGGTGAGAAGGCGGGGGTGGTGACAGGGAGGCCACAGGCAGTGGCTTCTGACATCCTGTGCGTGTCCTACTGCCGGGGGTGGGCAGGGGGAGCAGGTGCACACCAGCGATCTATGTGCTGTACGTGGCACGTGCATTACCCTGCCAACAGGAGACACATGGCAACACCATGGGAACTCACACCCCTTCAGACTGGGACAGGGCGCACAGGCGCACCGATCAGCCTGCTCTGAACCAGAAATATCGCATCAAAGGCTTGATAACGATGGCTTTGAACCGCAGCAGCCTTACAGGTGGTTGGGCCTAAACAGCACTTCCCACGTCGCACTCTGCTGAAGAAGCTCTTTTCTATCAAGATGTGCTTATTTGAGAAAGAGAGAGAGAGCAGGTGCATATGCACACCGGCAGGGGAGGGGCAGATCTGCAGCAGACTCCTGGCAGGGCGCAGAGCCCAACCTGGGGCTCCATCCCACCACCCCGAGACCATGACATGCGCAAGAGTCGGACACCCAACCAAGCGAGATGCCCGGGCGCCCCAGAAGAACGTCTTACAAACGCCCGTGACCCTCCGTGTGTGCCAAGCTCCCAGGCCCGGCTGCGCGCGGCCCCATACCTGGGTGGCGTCGGTGACGGCGGCCAGCTGCAGATACTCCGAGTTCCCCCATCCGAAGAGGCCGCCCTCGGCAGACACGGCCAGGCAGCAGTCACCGTAGGTGGCCACCTGCACGACGTTCACTCCGGCCAGGTCCCCGCCCAGCTTGGTGGGCACGCTGGTGATATTGTAGTGACCCAGACCTGCCGCAACGGCGAAGCGTTACTCCCAGTCACAGACTCTCAGCACAGATGCTTCCACGGGCTTCCTACGTGCCGAGCACAGTTTTAAATGCTTTACGAGCATCAGCTCGGCAAGGCTAGTCTGTTCCTCTCCGTACGCTACAGCTTCCCTCTCCACGCTCTCTCAGAGGAGGAAGAAACAGAAGAGGGAGCGTTTATTTTTAAAACCCCGGAGACTTTCTAAGTCTGACTCAAGCTAGAAATGTTTACGAGACAGAACAGCATGACACAATGAGGCCAGGGGACCCTGTAGGAACACACACGGACCTTTGCAGCCAGCGATCTCTAATGCACTGCTGGGCTTACCAGAAAATGAAGGAACTCCCCCAGAGCCCATTCCACCCCAGCTCCCCATGTCCCCCCACCAAAATAACAGTAAGCCAGAACTGGTCCACCGGCGTGGCGGACAGTGAACAGGAGAAAAGGCAGGGTGGCCAGAGGCCAGTGGGAGAAATGGCACCATCCACACTGTGACGGAAGGGGAGCCCTGGCAGCAGGACCAAGGCAGAACGCACACCCCAGACTCCCACTTTAAATCAGGCTTCACAACGGGACCCAAGGCAGCAGCAGACTCGCAGCACCCCTTAGCGACAGACAAAAGCGAACCTGGATCCTCTCTGGAGGAAAGCATCTCCATTTAGGCCCCTCTAGTTTCCATAAAGTCAATTCAAGGAAATCGGAGCCCACGGTCAGAAGTTACTCAAGCCATAAGGAAGGGCAGGCTTGTGCCAAGGCCCTGGGGCTGCAAGTGGCCGGCTCCAGGAACCGACTGCAGGAGCCTGCGGAGCTGGACACCAGGCCCAGCAAGGGCAGGGAGGCCAGCTGTCACCTACGACGGCTCGCTTCTGGAACGGCACCGGGAAACTGGTAGCCAGCGAGCGGGGCTTTTGCATCTCCCTTATTCCTCTCTGGGCTGTTGGGATGCATCTATCAACGAGCTTCTTATTTTTGTGAAAAGCTGATTTTTCAGGGCGCCTGGGTAGCCCAGTTGGCTAAGCCTCTGTCTTCAGCTCGGGTCATGATCTCAGGGTCATAGGATCGAGTCCCGCATCGGGCTCTCTGCTCCGCGGGGAGCCTGCTTCCCCCCCCCCCCTGCCTCTCTGCCTACTTGTGATCTCTCTGTGTCAAATAAATAAATAAAACCTTAAAAAAAAAAAAAAGCTGATTTTTCAAAAATGACCCACAGCACGATATTAAAAATAAAGAGAACCTTCGACTTTACAGATACCGAAAAAACGCATGTGAAAATACTGGCACAGGGATGAAATCAGCACACTTAAACGGACAGTATTTGTTGCTGGAGAGCTTATGGCCACCGTGGTAACTTCTGTATGGGGCTAAGGACAGTACAGGCTGGTACGATGTTTAGAAAGCAACCTGATAATACATTCTGAAAACGCAAAAATATTCTACTCTTCTGATCCACTCCTGGGAATCGATCCTACGGCAACAATCCCCAAAAAGAAAAAGTGTGTGTATACATGATAAATGTCATAATATCTTCAATGACCAATGTGGGGCTGCCCCCTGTCCCCCCCACCCAAAAATGTACCTCCTGACAACAGGGTAATGATTAACTAATGATTTGGTAAGTAATGAGTCATTTATCTCACGGTAAATGAGCTTGATGCTGTATCGCACAAATTATTAAAAACGCAACTGTGAAAACTGTACCGACAAGATTTAAAAGAGAAAACAAGCGTGTAAAAATCACACCTATGCTGTTATCACAATACAAAAGATGTGCACGTATGAACAAGAATGAGAAGGAAACGCGAGACCACGAACAAAGGTGATCTCATGCAGTGGGCGTCTTAGGGAGGATTTATACAAGACTGAAATCTTAAATGTAAAGGCCCTCCCTCCAGACAAATATTAAAAAACAGGAGGATTAAATAAGCAAGGTTAATAAAGCTTATCCCTCATTCCTCCCGCTTTTCATCCCATTCTCCTCAGAACAGTTAAAGCCACGCTCCCTTTAGCGGGCCTTTGTGAACCTGTTCTTCTCCAGCGGCATCTAGAATCTTCCACCCAACCCTTTATGGGATGGTTGCCATGGGCGCTGGGGGCGAGGGGAATGAGGCGGGACAGGCTGGCTAGGGCGGTGAGAGAGGGCTGAGCCTAAGGAAAGCAGGTGCTCACCCACAAGAGTCCCGTAGCCCCCACTCACTAGTGCCCCATCCCCAGCGGGGAAGGGCCTCCTACCCGTTTGCCCGTCGGCGCCCCAGCCGCAAGAGTAGACTTCTCCTTTGTCCGTCAGGAACAGGCTATGGTCCTGGCCACAAACCACCTGTCAGATGAACAGAGGGGAGGCCGATGAGAAATCCTTGGGAGCCCAGCATCCCGGTGGACGGACCCAAAGCTCGCCACATACCTTCCCGACCAGTGGCCGGCCGGGCCCAGGCGGGCTGGCCCTGCACGGCCTCCGCACCTGAATCTTGCTCAGTCCCTCCTCCATAAGCCTTTCTCTTCCCCGTTCCCTCCTCGACCTCCCCACCGGCCTCCAATCTTTGCCACTAGCCCCCTGTCCACCCTTCTAAGCCCTCAGGGCGCCCCCTCCTTCTGCAGTAACCCCTTTCAGACCAGCCAGCCCCGGCCTGTCTGATCCACGCCTCTGCCACCTTCTCCGTGATGCCTTCTCTCCCTCCCTTCCACCCCTGGGAGCCTGAACAATTCTCCTTCTGCGCTCTCAGGGCCCTTCCTGTAAGCGTCCGCTTCCGTATTTAAGTTTGTATGGTGAGCACGGACCGTGTGCCAGGCTCTGCACCGGGGATGGAAAAAAAATGGTGAGCAAGATACGGCCAGCCTGGGACGCACACAGATCTGGCTTAGCCTGGGCCTCCCCCTTACAGTGTCGGCCCCCCGCAAACCTTACTAAACTCTGTACCCCCGTAACCTAGTGGAAACCAACACCCTCCTGACCTACAGGAGGCAGCCAATAATTTTTGCTAAAATAATTTATTAACTCAGATAATTGCCCTGACCCATTTGCCGCCACCAACCCCCGCCACCTTTCACCCTTTTGCGAAAACACCTCCAGGGGGCCGGAGGACCGGCTCTCAGCGTCTCTCTAGGGCACGTCCTACCTGAACCACCTGTCCATCGAAGTCCTGCATTCTGTTGACTTTGTGACTTTCACTGCAGCCACGAGCCATTCAGGGAGAAGCAAGAGGTACGGTCATCATAAGCACCGTGTGGTTCTGCCCCTGCCCATCACCCCTAACTGACGGCCCCCACATGCACACAGTTAACTGTTAGGGAAACTCTCAAGGGCAAATATAGGGGAGAGGGAGGCCGATTTAGGAGAGTAAAACAGGACAACAACCCTTTGGTGATTTTTTATTTTTAAATAGGCTCCGTGCCCAACGTGAGGCTCAAACTCACAACCCCCAGGTGAAGAGTCACGTGCTCTACAGACTGAGCCAACCAGCTGCCCCACTTGGGTGATTTTTTTTTTTTTTTAAGATTTTATTTGTCAGAGACAGAGAAAGACAGAGAGAGTATACAAGCAGACGGAGTGGGAGAAGGAGAAGCAGGGCCCCTGCTGAGCAAGAAGCCCCATGCGGGGCTCGATCCCAGGACCCCGGGATCATGACCTGAGCCAAAGGCAGACGCTTGACCGACTGAGCCACCCAGGTGCCCCCCACTTTGGTGATCTTAACATACAGCCCGAAATGAGACTCGTACTCAGACCCAACAGCATAGTGTGAGGAAGGAGAAGGGAATCTTTTTAAAGACCAAAATCAATAAGGGTCTAGCTCTCAATGGGTTGAGCATGCGACTCTCGATCTGTGAGTTTGAGCCCCACGTTGGGTGTAGAAATTACTTAAAGTCTTTAAAAAAAAAAGATTGAAATAAATGGAATAGAGGGGAATTTTTAAAGTTAATCAATTTGGTTAAAGTAAAAAACTAATTCAGAACAAGTCCGACGCACCACAGTCAACGCTCAACCGCCCTCCCTTCCACCCAGGCACCACACAGAGCTCAGCCATCAGAGGAACGAACCCTCCACAGCTTTCCAGTGACTCTCACCTCCCTTCTCAAGCAGGGGGAAGCCTGCCACTTCCTGCTCTGTGGGTCCATCACTTACTAACCACATGGGAAATGTTAAATGCTTAACACGATCTGGGGAAGTCCTTTAGGGAACTCACCTATAAATTTCATTTTCGACCACGTTTCTTCCACATTGCCCGTAAGAATTGTTTCCCATGCTGAAGACTGCAGAAAACACCACCAGTGAAATCCGCTCTGCGGGCTCGTGGGATCCCGGAATGTCAGGACTGCAAGGGGGTCTCGGAAGGGGTCTTACTCCAACCACTCAGGCTAAGCGCCCGGTTTCCTTCTCGGACACCAGCCTTTGCAGGTGCACCTGTAGGCCAGCTGGGGCCGGGCCCTCCAGCAAAAGCCTGGGCCACCTCGTCAGGACCCTCTGCCTTCCCCTGCAGGCCCTTGTTACAAATTCCACGTTCCGAGGCGAGCACCTCCCGGGGAAGGTCCCGCCACCCGCACCCCGGGACGTGTCACTAGAGGTTGCCCTCCACGCCAGAGCTACTCTGGAAAGAGTTCCTGATCACCACGTCTGCCTTTTCCCACGAAGCACGCTTAGCGGGAAAATGAAACTGGAACATTGAGGCAAGACGGCCTTTCTCTAGAAACACTCGCTCTTCGGGAGAGAATCTGTGCTCTCTGGAGTCTGAAAGCAGCCCCCCAGCTGAAGGAAGCGCCGGCCAACAGGCTCCTTTCAGTACAACAGAAAACACTGTCTGCGGGCAGCCCAGTGACTTCATGGCAAAGCGAGCGGGAGGCCCTGTGAAGGCGGCCCAGTGGGCGCCATCACGTTTACGAATACGTGAGGTTCTCTAAGAATCACAGAGAGCAGTGATCACGGAAGAGCTGGCAGGACCCCCCAATGGTGACCTTGAGCCATGCTACCAGTCTGCTCCGGAAGTGCCAGCGGCCTCCCTAGTGACACGTGGTTCCATCAAACCACCCGGTTTCGACCCAAGGGCAGGAAAGTGGCTCCCCGGCTCCTCCACGAACCCCAGAGGCCAACTCACCTCCTTCGCGGTCTGTCAGGATGAGAGAGTGGGCTCTGCCGCAGGACACCTGCAGCACCCGTGTCTCCTGAGGTCTGTCCAGAGGCAGTGGGACAGGCGAGGGCTCCAGTACATACTCATACCCCCTGGCTGAAAGAAGAACGAGCAGGCTCACAGCGAGCCACCCTGACCCAGAGTGACAGCATTCCCGGCACCAGACCTCACGCTGTCCGGCCCCCACGACGCCCCACAGTCAGAGATCAGAGGGACTTGTCAAGGCACCTGAGCTCGTGGCAGAGCTAAGACTGGAACCCCAGGCCCCGGGGCCCGGACCCGCGGCACCGCGCTGCCTCCAGTGAGCCTTCCTGTGTCAGTCACGCCATCTGCACCCAAGGAGAGCAAAGGCAGAGACCCACGACCACTGCCCAGTAAGGCGAAGGGCAGCATGTGCTTTACAACACCGCTCATATTAAAAAGTGGGGAAAAGGATACACGGGAGCCTTTGCTTGTGTATGCGTTACGTCTCTCCAGGAGAAACGGGAAACTGTTAACACGGGTTGTCTTCAGGGAGAAAAACTGTAGGGCTGGGAGGACAGAAGCAAAAACCAGCCTCTTCTCCAAAATATTCTAGTGCACCTGGAGGGTTCTCAAGTACACAAATACGCTCTCTAGTCAAAAAAGAAAATTGTAGGGGCACTTGGCCCTATGCCTGGTAGAGCGTAAGACTCTTGATCTCAGGGTCGTAAGCTCGAGCCCCACACTGAGCACAGAAATTACTTCAACAATAAAATAAGATCCCTAAAATTAAATTTTTCTTAATTAATTGATTAATTAATTACAGTGAGTTCTACACCCAATGTGGGACTCGAACTCATGTCCCTGAGATCTGGAGTTGCACACTCTACCAACGGAGCCACCAGAGGCCCCTGAAAATTTTAACTTTTAAATAAGCGAGTAAGGGGAAAGTTCCTTAGAAGTCACTCTACAGAAGAAACTTATACTTTTGTTTGTTTTTGTTTTGTTTTTTTAAGATTTTATTTATTTGACAAACAGAGATCACAAGTAGGCAGAGAGGCAGGCAGGGAGAGAGAGGGGGAAGCAGGCTCCCTGCTGAGCAGAGAGCCCAATGCGGGGCTCGATCCCAGGACCCTGACATCACGACCTGAGCCGAAGGCAGAGGCTTAACCCACTGAGCCACCCAGGCGCCCTGGAGAGAGCTTTCTATCAGCATGGAGTAACTGCTTTATCACACTGAGATGTTGTGATTCTAGGCAACATCGAAGAAACCAGACCATGTTGGTGATATATGTATACATCCCCCATTGCTACCTGCACAGACCCCTAAGGGCCTGGGAAGCCTTCAATGTTATCATGTAAGGGGAATCGGGCCGTAAATACAGCTATCAGGAAGTACAGAGGATGACATTAGACGGAACCATAGCAAACTCCAGACTGGAGAATTCTATAGGATAAACAATGTGATCTCTTTTTTTTTCTTTCTTTTTTTTTTTTTTGTTTTTAAAAGTTTTATTTTTATTTATTTTTTTAAAATATTTTTTATTTTATTTATTTGACAGAGAGAGAGAGAGACAGATCACAAGTAGGCAGAGAGGCAGGCAGAGAGAGAGGAGGAAGCAGGCTCCCCGCTGAGCAGGGAGCCCCATGTGGGGCTCGATCCCAGGACCCTGAGATCATGACCTGAGCCGAAGGCAGAGGCTTAAGCCACTGAGCCACCCAGGCGCCCCTAGAGATTTTATTTTTAAGTAACCTCTACACCCACTGTAGGGCTCAAACCTACAACCCCGAGATCAAAAGTCACACACTTCACCAACTAGACCAGCCAGGCGTCCCTATTCCTTTTCTTTTTTTCTTCCTTAAGAAAGTAAGCCTTGGCTGGACGCCTGGGTGGCTCAGTGGGTTAGGTCTCTGCCTTCGGCTCAGGTCATGATCTCGGGGTCCCGGGATCGAGTCCCACATCGGGCTCTCTGCTCAGTGGGGAGCCTGTTTCCTCTCTCTCTGCCTGCCTCTCTGCCTACTTGTGATCTCTGTCTGTCAAATAAATAAATAAATAAAATCTTTAAAATAAAATAAGAATCTAATGATATTTATGAGATAACTAACAATTTGAAAACTGGATATTTAGTAACATAAAGGGATTTTTTTTTTTAAAGATTTTATTTATTTGACAGACAGAGATCACAAGTAGGCAGAGAGGCAGAGAGAGAGAGGAGGAAGCAGGCTCCCTGCTGAGCAGAGAGCCTAATGCAGGACTCGATCCCAGGATCTGACCCGAGCCACCCAGGCACCTCAAGGGCCTTATTTTTTTAGATGCATACTAAAATATTTACCAATAAAATTAATAATGTTGGGATTTGCTTCAAATTAGTGAGGGGAGGGGCACCTGGGTGGCTCAATTATTAAGCATCTGCCTTCGGCTCAGGTCATGATCCCAGGGTCCTGGGATTGAGGCCCGTGTCCGGCTCTCTGCTCAGCCGGGAGCCTGCTTCCCTTCCTCTATCTCTGCCTGCCTCTCTGCCTACTTGTGATCTCTGTCAATTAAATAAATAAAATCTTAAAAAAAATTTATATATCAGGCACAATAAGAGAAATATCTTATCATCAAAGCCTCTTTTGCCTAAAGGTCCAGTGTTATTACCAAAGGGGCTCACGAGCAATCTAGTCCAGACGGTTCCAAATAACGTTCGCGTAAGACTCCTTCTATTCCGTTCTGCCAGTCTGATTTGTGTCATCACATTCTTGAAAACAAAAGGGAGAGCTCCCTCAGACCAATCGCAGCACAGAGTAGCCAAGGGGAACACACTCACTTTTATCTTTGCGGCTCCGGTGAAATCCAAGCTGGGAATCTTTGTTGAGCCCCATACCCCAAACTTTCGTCACGTCCTTGGTTTTAGAGGATAACAGCGTGAATCCATAGCCACAGGCAGCAGAGGAAATCTGCAAAAAGAGCTCCCATAAAGCATGAGCTGATTTGTGACATCGAGTTTTCTCTGCAACAAATGACAGGTTGTTTGCCCAAAGAACATATAGCACTGGGGCGCCTGGATGGCTCAGTCGGTTAAGCATCTGCCTCCAGCTCAGGTCATGATCCCAGGGTCCTGAGACCGAGTCACAATTTGGACTCCCTGATCCTCCCTCTGCCTGTTTCTCCCTCTGCCTGCCACTCCCCATGCCTGTGCTCTCTAACAAATAAATAAGTTTTTAAATATAAATAAATAAAATAAAATAAATAAAAAATAAAAACCATGTTTAAAGAACTGAAAGGCTGGCTGACTCAGTCCATCTGTAGAGCATGCAACTCTTGATCTCAGGGTCATGAGTTCAACCCACACTTGGGGGTAGAGATTACTCAAAAAAAAAATAAATTAAATAATAACTCTAAAACCGTATACTGGGCTTTAAATGTAAATACAGATCACAATAACCCCACAAGGGAGAGAGAAGGAAACGGAGCTTCGTTGGAACAAAGTTGCTATCGTTTTTTGTTTGCTTGTTTGGTTCAGAATTAGGTCTCTATCAACCTAACACAGACTGTGATAATACTGTATTGTAATATTGTAATATTGATATTATAATCCCAAGAAAAACCTCAAATATACAGCAAAACACCCAACAAAGGGACTTAACCCACTGAGCCACCCAGGCGCTCCCCCAACAAAGGAATTTAAAAGGTACTCTATTTAACACAAAAGAAAGCAGCAAAGGATGAAGAGAGAAACAAAAGACCTACAGAAACAAACAGCAGCAAGATGGCAGATGTGATCCAACCCTATCAGTAATGACATTAAAAGGACATGGATTGACTGACATCAGTGAAAATGGCAGATCGATGAGAACACTGGCAAATGCCAGAATCCTTTTTTTTCAGAACTCTGGAAATTAATCAAAGACTTCAAGCGATCTGGGGACTGTTTACTCAAGAAAAGCAGCTGAGTCTCCGTAAGAACAGCAAGCTTTGTGGTTAGAGAATATGAATTTCTTTCATTTCGGCAAAATGCTTTGCAGCATTTCAACTTGACCTATTCCCATTCCCCTCGCCGAAGCTCTGCGGTAGCTCTGAAAAGGAACGGTCACAGCGACAGCGCAGGCGGACAGTGTGGCAGCCACTGCAAGAGGAAGAAAAGGGACTGGAGGAACTTCAAAGCTCTGTTCCCAGAGCGTTCTCATCTCATCTGTCCGGTGGCTCCCTGGAAGACCCCATGCGCACAGCTCTCCTCCTGTGACCTGACCCAGGTATCACCCAGGGCAAACAGCCTCCTCCCCAGGGCTATTTGTTGAAAACAATCAGCAGCTAATGTTTGACCACTGCAGCTGCCTGAGGTGGTGGAGAACAGCTGGGGCAAGTAACAGGTCAACCAAGAAGTCACTAACCCACTTGACCTGACATCAAGTCCCCCCGGACCATAGCAGAATGCTCATCCCTTTCCAGCACACGTGGAGCACTGTCCAGCGCAGGCCACAGGCTAGCCTATAAAACGGAGTCTCAATGCACTTAAAAGGGCTGAAATTAGAGAAAGTATATTCTGTGACCACAAGGAATGTAACTGTGACTCCGATGACAACCCCCTGCTCCGGGGGTGACGTGAGAATGACGCCAGTCCGGCACAGCAGGGGCACATTTCGGCCACTCGTTAAACGTGAGAGGCGCCCTAACGCCCTCCCCCACCCACCTGGGCCTGCAGCCCGCTGAGGGTCCTCCTCCCCGCCGCTGGACCACCCAGCGTCGCAGCTTCCCGCCGAGGGCCTCGGGGAGCAGCGGCGGAGGCCAGAGGGCGCTACGAAGGGAGAGAGCCGCGGCGCGCACCTTCTGGTCCAGCTCCAGGCGGTAGGGCACGGGCTGGATCCTGCGGGGCGGCCGCGAGCCGGCGCGAGGCTTGGGCCCAGCGCTGGGCAGCACGAAGGTGGGCACGCCCAGCGCCCCCGAGAAGCTGAAGCCCCACACGAAGATGCGGTCGGCACGGGCTGCCCGCTCGCCCACGTACTGGAACACAGGGGCGTCCGCCTCGCGCGAGCTCGGCGAGCGCCCGGCCGCCGTCCGGTGCCCTCGCCCCGCCCGCAGCCCCGGTCCCGGTCCGCTCAGCAGCCGCCCCAGCCGAGCCCCGGCCGTCAGCGCCATTCCCCGCTCCACGCCTCAGCGCCTCCTGGGCGCCGCCATCTTGGGTGACCCCTGAACCCACGCTCTGGCGGAAGAGCCCCAGGGCTCGTCGGCTATTGGCTGAAGTCAAAGGCGCCGAGGGCCGCCAGTGGCTGGGGGAAGGCGGGAGGCGGGGCGGGGCCTGGGAGCCGCAGGCTTAGTGGGCGGGGCGCTGTACTGCCGCGCGCACCTGTCTCCCAGGTCCGCAGACCGGCCCGGCGGCTGCCTTCCCTGTCCCGCGCTCCTTGCGGAGGGTCTTCCCGGCTCTCGCGGGCGGCGGGCGCTTCCGTTCCGAAGGCCCGTTGCTGCCTGTCTGTCAGTAGAGGTAAAACGTAGTGGTGGCCCGCTCTGCTCGGCTCCCATGTGGCGCTCTCCCCCGCCCCGGTTTACCCTCCTCGCCGCGGTCCCTCGTCGTTCCCAGCGGGCGCCGTCGCAGACTCCCCGTCCGCTTCCAGGCCGCTCAGCCGGGCTCCAGCCCCAGCGCGCTGGAGGGCAGCTCTGCAGGTGCACCTGCCGCCCCCGGCCCTGCAAGGAAGCCGCACTGCCTTCCGCAGCTCGTGGTCCTCCTCCCCAGCCCACCTCGCCCCCCAGCCGCGCGCTGCCACGGAGTAAGGTGGCTTTCCTCGTAATTTCCGAATCCCGGGGCCGGTTCAGGGCTGCCTGCTTAGCACACGGGGCCCCGCATGTCCCTCCGGCCGCCCTCCTCCCTGCAGGTGTCCAGCCGACTGCTAGCCGTCTTCTGAGATCCGGCACCTGCTCCCAAGTTCCCAGGAGGCTGGAACTGACGGGGGTCCGGGGACCTGGGTCTAGTTCTGGCTGTGCTACTCCCTTGACACGTGGCTTTGGCAAGCTGTCTCCCTTCTCTGGAGAGCACCTCTAAAGTGAGGAGGGTAAGGGCGGGGGAGTGAAATGAATTTTTTGAAATAAATGAGATATGAGATGTTTGCGCTTTATGACCTGTAGGATCTTCTGCGGCCCACGCCGACCGATGATGGACATTCCAAATACTAGTCCCAAAAGCTGAGGACAGACCACTCTGAAACTAGGCACCCTACAGGATGGTGGGGTTCCAGAACGGCAGAGCCAGATGGCTGGACTTGATAGAAGAGGCAGTCAGGGCAGGGTGGCAGCCCTAGTCCCTGGCACCATTGGTCTATGGCTTGGCTACCTGACCATGGTATTCCGAGGAATGAGGTATAAGTTCCTCCTTGACAGTGTATAACCAGAAAAAGATCTGACTCTGTTCTCAGACCAGAATCCAGCAACTGTAGGGGAGGCAGAATGCACTTAAAGGACCCTGTGGAGCCAGCACGAGTAGAGGCTATAGCTAATCACTTCCCAGAGGAATTTGTGGGTATCCTATACACTAGGGAAATGAGAATAAGCAGATCTCCCCAGAGCTTCATCGAGGGTCCGAGATGACAGTGACCCCGGGAGACCCGAAACACTGGCAAGGACCGCAGTTAGACCGGGAGCTTAAGGAGCCCGTACAGGCACGGCTGTGCGTGGATCAGTGTGTCCCCGCACCGGCCCCTTGAAATGCCTCAGGTTCCTGAGTGCACAACTGGGACAGACAGACATCCTTAGCGACTCAAACTGGTTTCCTCATCCTGTCCTGACCCAGCCAGTATTAAATCAGGAGACATACTGCATTCTGGGTGCAATTGCAAACCCGAGTGGCATCCTCAGAAACGCAGAGGATGAAGAAAAGAGAGAGAGAAGAAGAAGGAAATGCAGAGGATCCTGGTTCCCGTCATTATCCCATTCAGCTCATATGCTTGGCTCTTACAAAACCCAGGCAGGTTATGGCCAATAATGTGATAAACTGTGTAAACTTAACCAAGGGCACAGCCCAATCCTAGCTGCTGTGTTGGGGGAGAGTTTTTCTAGAACAGACCAACACAGCTAAGGACCTTGCTACGGGATACTGATCTGGTGGATGGGTTCTTCTCGATTCCAGTGGTAAAGAGACTCAAAGGCAGTTCAGCTCTATAGAGAAAGGACACTATTATTCATTAACTCTCCCTGACTTGGCTCGTGCTACCTCCCAAATTAAGTATCTGTGTGCAAGATCTTGTCTCCCACTCTGCTTTATTTACAAATCAGGGGCTCCCGGGTCGCTCGGTCTGTTAAGCATCCGACTCTTGGTTTTGGCTCAGGTCATGATCTCAGGATCATGAGATTGAACCCCATTCCAAGCTCCATGCAGGGCTGGAGGCTGCTTGGGGTTCTCTCTTCTCCTGCTGCCCCTCCCTGCTCGTGGTCTCTCTCTTAAAGACAAAAAAAACAAAACAAACAAACAAAAAAAAAAAAACCTGAGACTTGGGGGTGCCTGGGTGGGTCAGTGGGTTAAAGCCTCTACCTTTGACTCAGGTCCTGATCCCAGGGTCCTGGGATCGAGCCCCACACTGGGCTCTCTGCTTGGTAGGGAGCCTGCTTCCCCCTCTCCCTCTGCCTGCCTCTCTGCCTGCTTGTGATTTCTGTCAAATAAATAAATAAAATCTGAGACTTATATTGGTGAAGAAGAATTACGTAAGTACCATCCATTAGTAAGGATTCTCCAGAGATAGGAGAAATAGGGGTCCCATGATCCGTCTGCAAGCCAGACACTCAGGAAAGACAGAGGTAGAGTTCCAATCAGTGCAGACGTCTGAGAACCAGGAACAAGACTGATGTCCCAGCTCAAACAGCCAGGTGGAAAGAGAACTCAACCTTCCTCTGCCTTTTTTGTTCTATTCTGGCCCTCGGGGGTTGTACATGTCCCACATATATTGGGGAAGGCCATCTTTATCCAGCATGCCAGTTCCAAGTCTGTTCCTTCCAGCAATGCCTTCACAGACACACTCAAAAATCATGTTTAACCACATCTTTGGGCATTCTCTAGCCCAGTCGAGTCGGCACATTTACTTGCATAACTAGTAACTAATAACTAGTTATTAACATAGTTATGAGATGTGTATCTATTCACGAGGTGTGTATCCAGTTTTTAACTGTTCTTCCATGGGACTTTCCTTTTATCTGAGTTCGTGGCCTCTCTGGATTTTTGGTTTTAAGGATCTTTTAGAAACTGGCGATGATGGTAGATAGGTTTTTTAAAAATCTTTCCTTGTCAGAATGTTTGTCAGAATTAAAAAGCTGAGGGGCGCCTGAGTGGCTCAGTCGGTAAGTGTCTGACTTGGGCTCAGGTCATGATCTCAGGGTCCTGGGATCAAGCCCCACATTGGGCTCCCCGCTCTGTGGGGAGCCTGCTTCTCACTCTCCCACTCCCCCAGCTTGTGTTCCTTATCTCACTGTTTCTCTCTCTGTCAAATGAATAAAAATCAAATCTTTTTTTTTTTGATTTAAATAATAAATAAGGATTTTATGTTTTTATTTCCACACCCAATGTGGGGTTCGAACCCACAATCCCAAGATCAAGAGTTACATGCTCCATCATCTGAGCCAGCCCTGTGGCCCTGATGTCTTGAATTTATCAAACATTTGTCTTCTAACAAATACCCCAAAGACGGTACCATCGGTTGGAGATTTTAGGGGACAAAGGGCACTGTGACAAAATCTGCAATGTGAGCCTCAGCCACTGGGTGGCGATGCTTGCCCATCAATTTTGTGTCTTACTCAACCAAGAAAAGCCAGTTTGGGCCAATGGAGAGAGCTGGTTTTGTAGCGACAACTGGGCTTTTATATTTTACTATTAAAATCTGGTTGTTTTATATACTGGTTGTATGCTGGCTAATACTTGTCCATATTGTTGCTTGGAAAAGATGGTCCCACAGCAAAATACCAACCCTCCCAGAGTGTTAAAATGTTTGCTATCGGTAACCAAGCTCCATTTCCCTATACTGACATTTTCCTGCAGTCATTCTAATTTCTTTTTTTAAGATTTTATTTATTTATTTGACAGAGATCACAAGTAGGCAGAGAGGCAGGCAGAGAGAGAAGAAGGGAAGCAGGCACCCTCTGAGCAGAGAGCCTGATGCGGGGCTCGATCCCAGGACCCTGGGATCATGACCTGAGCCGATGGCAGAGGCTTAACCCACTGAACCACCCAGGCACCCCTCTAATTTCTTCGTTACACTGGGATAGTTAAAATTCTCTGGTCTGGGGAAGAATGAACTTCACTTATGTATTCTAATTATCATTATTAAACTTTTAGTTATATAATTAATATATGATGAAGTGCCTTTGTAAAAAAAAAATAAATAATAATTACTTAGGTGTTCTATATGGATAAAAGGAAAGGCTCCTTTAACCACAGCCCCACATATATACGTTGCCATAGAAAAAATATTCTTAAATTTTTTTGTGTGTGTTTAAAGAAAACAGTATAATATGTATCTTATTTTACCGCCCCTTTTCACTCAAAACTTTATTGGAGACACTTTCATAGTAATTTGCTTGCACTCGGCTCATTCCTTTTCAGCCTTGCGTATTGGTATGAATAAGTCTTGTTTATTCTTCTGGTGAACTGTTAGGTTGTTACCTTTCTTTTTTCCTATTACAATGTTACAGTGAGTGTTCTTGTAGATGTTTCCTTTGGTATCTGTATAATGGTATCTTTGGGTAGATAGTAGATAGGGATAAACAGAACTGCAGGGTCATAGAAAATGCTCATTTTATTATATTTTTATATTTTTTTAATTGTATTTTTTATACTTTATATATTTATTTGAGAGAGAGAGAGAGAGAGAGAGCGCAACCAGGAGGAGCTGAAGGGGCGGGGGAAGAAGCAGGCTCCCCGCTGAGCAGGGAGCCTGACGAGGGACTCAACCCCAGGACCTTGAGATCATAACCTGAGCTGAAGGCAGCTGCTTTAACTTTTGAAATGTTTGTCAATCCCAATACCTAAAGCATATCTCTTGTTGATTTTTCTTCTGTTTCTGTAATGTCTTGGGAAGGTAGAACACCTTATGGCATTTCATGTTTCCTCTACCAAGAATTGTTTGGCTCTTCATATCCTTGGCCATGTTTCTACTGAATTGACTATTCTTAATTTATAGGAGAACTTGATATAATTG